CAAAGCGCAACCATTTATTATGGAACATTCGTTATTTACATTTTACAGCTTTTTGTATATCTTTAGTTTTCGTCTTTTTTCAAATATACCTAAAACTATTTTTGAGCCTAGTCATCTATGGTTTTGTAGAGAATTTTAAGCGCTATCTTTTGATAATAATGAGAGCTTTACTTACAGTGATAATAGACAGGAAATCTTAAAAATACTGCGAGGCTCATTATTCCTGGGACACCCGATACATACCCATTTATTCGCAAGTTGTTTTCGTTCATCAAATAACTAAAAAAAATATATAAACATATCAGAATTTCATCCAAGTATTTCAGATAAGATTTCAAAAAGAATAATTAAAGTTTATAAAATTTAAAACGCAGATATTTTTATGGAAGATGAAATTAATTCAGTTGGAACTTGTGTAAACTCGGTTGGTTTGGTTAAATTTTTGAAAAGTACGTACTAATTCCACCTTTAATCTCTAACCAAAGTAAATAATTGAAAGTAGATTTTATTATTTTATGAGAATATTGTCTCAAATATGTACTTGACTTTTATATGATTTATGTTCATTGTAAAATTTGACTGAACTAAAAATATTTCGTCTTTTCTAAAATGAACGTGCTTTATGGAAAGATAGCTTTCGTTCATACGATGAGTCCATGATCATATTTCAATATAAATGATCGAAGATTGATCAAAAGAAAAAAAATTCAACTAAGAATGAAGTAATTAAGTAGCCAGAATATTTTTTTACTGTTCCAAAAGTCTTGAGCGAATTTCTTTACATAAACTTTTCGATAACAATTTATTTTAATACATTTTAACCGAGGAACTCGTTAAAGTATAAACAAAACGGAATACAGCATATATTCAAATTTCACAACTCCATTTACAGCCTCCTAAAACCGTCAATACTTCAATCTGACTCAAAACATTTGTGACAGGAGAATTTAAAAAGTCTTTTATATTTAGGCTCATCTCATTAAAATCTACAACAGTATAATAATTAACATCGAATCGACTAATTTCAAATGTATACATTTTATTTGTATATCTTCTTACTCGAGCATTTGTTTCATCATCTTGTAATGGCGTCCAAGTTGAATATAAACGATTTTTTCCTTTTCCATTTAATTTTGTAGAATGTGTCGATGCCATTGTACGATCTAATTCATGTTTCATTATTGATTGTTCTAATTTTGCTGTTGTATTTAAACCATTTATAGTTGTATTATGCTGTGGTCGATTACGTGTTGGTGTTGTCGATCGTTGTTGAGCACTTGTTGGACGTGCTGGTCGCCGATTACCAACAACTTCATTTGGATTAGGTGGATAATGATGAGAATGAGTTGATGTATTCATTAAATCAGTCATCTTTTACTCAATATAAGAAATGACGACCTTCGCGCGTAATCTAAGAAGAAAAAAAGAGTTATGAGATTCATTTAGTCAAAAAATTAAAATCGTTGTTAAGCAACGGGTAAAGAGGCAAATGAATGTTGCATTAGTAATAATTCATTAATGCATTTTTGTATATTTCATTCAAATTTGATTGGTTATTCGAAATAAACCATTGAATTGGGAATGCAAAAAAAAAGTTTCTTTGTTCATAAATTTTCGTAAGTTTTAATCGTCGTTTGAAAATGAATAAATTTGTTTGTTTTCTAACTTCAGATGACTGATGATTCTCTTCCAATAGTTCCATCATCTGATAGAATATCATTATCAAACGATAAAAAATCATCGTCGTGGAATTTTGATGATTTACATCATGAAGATGAATCTGATAGTTCCAATGATTTTTTTTCTGTATTAAAAAAAAATGTTTCTAAACATGTTTATTTGGATGAAGATATTTCAAATGATAATTGTTTATCAAATAAAATAACTGAACGTTCAACAGTTCGTCTTGATAGTAGTGATTTAATATCACGTTGTAAACATTTTCTTCCATTATTAACTGATGCTAATCAAACATTATTTTCAAAAATAAAATCAGGTGAAAATGTTCGTATTGAATTAGATTCTGATCAAGATAATGATAATGATGGACAAACAATTGAAATGAATTTAATGTTTTGTCCAAATGTTGATACATCATCGGAATCTAATAATACTTCTGATGAAAGTGATGATGATGATGATGATCAAATGAAAATAACAACATTACAATCTATTAAGAAAAATAGTCAAGTTAATATTATTGAAATTCAATCAACAAATAATAATCAAGATGATAATAAATCTGAAGATATTGTTAACACATAATGTTTAGTTATGTTCTTTTTTGTTTTTGTTTTCAAAATTATACAAAAAATTCGAAAAAAGAATATTGTTAAAAATAGAATTATTTCTAGATATGTAAATCTATCATGTCAGTATCTATAACAAATACAGTAGCTCCACATGCATCGACAGCAACTTCGATTACATCAGTAGATTCAACCAAAAATGCTGAACCACTTGCTGTTCGAGGTTAGTTTTATTGGTTATTTACGTAAAAACAAAGAAAAGATTTTTCTTAATAGTAATGCGTCTATCAAAACCGACGCTATATCAAAATATACCAGTTTATGCCGAAGACGAATCTTCATCATCGGCAGCGGCATTTCTTGCTGGTCAATCACATGATATAGCCATTGGAAATGATCATTCTGTTTTAAGTCATTTACTTGTACTTCCCTATAGTTTTGGGTTAGTTTATATTATATACATGTTTTAGAAATTTTTCTTTTTTTATTATTTAGCAATGTATTTTTGGGTGAAATATTTTCTGCAATTGTTTCATTACATAACCAAAGTGATCAAATACTTCGAGATGTTATACTTAAAGTAAATTTAATTAGAATATTAAAATTGATTGTTTTAATCTCTGAACATTTTTTTTTAAAATTTTAGACAGATATTCAAACAGCTACACAACGTATTACACTTAATTCAAATGATCAAAATGATTCGAATAAATTTGAATTAGCACCTGATCAAAGTATATGTCGAGTTTTGCAACATGAAGTTAAAGAACTTGGCAATCATTCGTAAGTATTGAACGAAAACAACAGAATCGCTAGGTCAGATTGTATTTGTAGAAGAATTATAGTTGTTATCGAAGTAAATTAGATTCAAGTATGATAACTTTCGAGCAAAAAAAAATGTTAGAAAATCGAATGCGTTGCATTACAGTAGTCAGGTATTTTCACCGAGAATTACTTTGAGATTTATGCTATGATCAGAATCAAAATTAGATAGTACTAGTCATGTCTCTGATGGACAAATTTTAATATTAGACCTTATCCGATGAGTGAGACATCAGATAGTAAAGTGAAAAATATCAAGAATTTATCGAAAATATTCATAACAATGATAGACTCATTCTCAAAACATCACGTTTCTCCATTATAGTAGTATCATCACGTGTACGTTTGAGTCATATAAATGGAAACCTATGACAATACCTTTCGTGTTTCGCTATTTATTTCGGTGTTAAATGTCCTATCTTTATGATAAGGTCGACGTATCTCTAGATTAATTTACATGAAAATAAAATATATGACCTTAACATTTAGTAATCAAGTACAGTCGTATTTTTCACTATACGATTTATTTTTCTGAGAAAAATACAAACTCACTGTGATAGCTTCAGACAAAGAGATTTGATCATGTTTATTATAATTGTAATAATTAGAGATGAGTTAAAATTGCGGAGGATAAGGATACCTGCCAATCACCGACATAGTTTATTCTTGCTTTATTAGAAATGTTTGGCGAACTAAAAACAAGTTAATTTGTATAAAAAATGAGTAAGTTTAATTATTTTTCAACCATGAAATCTATACCCTTTGACAAGTTAAGGGAGCACGAAAATGAAATTGGTAGCGGTGCGAATTGCACACTCCCTGATGTCCGGGAGGGGGGAGGGCGCTGCGAAGGATACGGCTGTACTACCATTTAGACTTTACTTCACATTTTTTTTTCTAGGAATATCCATTGGAAAGTTTGCCTTTTTGTCTCCTCCGCATTTCTGTTCGTATATCCGAACGCCTCCCTCCTTTTTGCTTTTCCGCATCTACTTCAGAAATTTCTGGCTCTGCCACTGACTGATCTGGTCCTGTCTTGTCTATTCGGACTATTACCAGTACGCATCGTCAGAAATCTAGATCGGTTTCATCTCTGCTATAAATGAAAACAATATGAATTCGCTATATTTTAGTTTAGTATGTACTGTGACATGTGTCGATCAGAATGGCGAAAAATGTAATTTAAAAAAAGTTTTTAAACTGCCGGTAAGACACAATAAAATTGAAAAATAATCATAAAACATAACTTTAGGTCGGCAAACCAATTGATTTAAAAACAAAATTTGTTTCAGGTGCAAAGGTAAAAATAAATATTTAAATTTTTTTTGAACCTTTTGTTTTTTTTCCTGAATAGCATGATGAATATTATGTTGTTGCTGATATTCAAAATCAGACTCAATCGATTTTAAATATGACGTTCGTTGTTTTTTTTTTCTCGTCCAACAATTCTTTCATAAATATTAAATTTTAATAGAACTGTTGAATTAGAACCATCAAATGCATATACTGTAAAAAGTTTAAGTAATCTTCATCAAGAAACTTCTGAACATTCTGAAAGGTTCTTTTTATATTTATTTTTAATCCTGTTTTTTAAGTTTTTTGTTGTTGTTTCTTTTAGTTCTCTTTGTGAAGCATGGCGTTTTATACGTCCAAATGAAATAACCACATATATGTTTTATTTAAAACCACGACATGATATTACTTTTGAACAACTACATTCAACACCAACATTAGGTAAACTTGATATTGTTTGGATGTCTGGTTTGGGTGAACGTGGTCGTTTACAAACAAATCAATTACCAAAACCTGTAAAAGATTTTATAGATGAAATTTAAAATAAATATTTTACTTAAATAAATAGACTCCATCAATAACAACAACAAATCTTGGATATTTACCTGATTTACGTTTATTTTTAATACGTGGTCAAGGTAAATGTTATGTTGAAGAAGCACAAAACTTTTCTATTCGAATTTTAAATTGTACACAACGTACAATGGATTTATCATTAAGTTTTGATAATTCATTTTCTAAACGTGAACAATTTTCATGGATTGGTGTTGTTAGTAAACAATTAGGAAAATTAGAAGCTCATCAAACATATGATATTGAAATACAACTTGTGCCATTAACATGTGGATTAAAAGTAAAAGAACACAATTCTTTTTGTTTTTAAAATGAAAATAAATTATGTTTTCTATTTAGCGTATTGGTGGCTTAAAATTAACTGATTTAACAATGAGACATACATATGATTTGGAAGATTTTCATCATCTATTTGTCTTACCTAAACTTCTGCTTTAATGAATTTCATTTGAAATTCTTTAATTTTTTTTTCTTTTGAAAAAAAAAAATTTTCTCTTTAAAATTTTAAATATCGATAAAAATATTTATTTTAATTTTTAGATTATTTCTATTTGAATAATAATAAATATCATGTCGGCTGAGAGTGATGTTAATCCTAAAGCTTATCCATTAGCTGATGCTAAACTTACAAAGGATATTCTTGATCTTGTTCATCAAGCACAAAATTATGTAAGTTTTGTTTTATTATTTTTTCTAAAAATTAATTTTCTTTTTCTCTATTTAAGCGTCAATTACGTAAAGGTGCTAATGAAGCAACTAAAACACTTAATCGTGGTAAAGCAGAATTGATCAGTAAGTTGAAAATATAATAATAATTATTAACAAAAAAAAAAACTTTATTTATAGTTATGGCTGCTGATACAACACCTATTGAAATTTTAATGCATTTGCCATTATTATGTGAAGATAAAAATGTTCCATATGTATTCGTACGTAGTAAACAAGCATTAGGTCGTGCTTGTGGTGTAACACGACCAGTTATTAGTGCAAGCATAACGGTTAATGAAGGATCACAATTAAAACCACAAATTCAAACACTTAAACAAAATATTGAAAAATTATTTACTTAAAACTCCAAAAAAAATAATTAATAAGAAAAAAAAGAAGAAGAATAAAAAAAATTGTGTTTGAAAGAAAAGTTCTTTGTTTTTGTTGTTTTTGTTGTTTTTTGTTATTATTTCTGTGTCACCGTCATTTGTATTTGATGGAATGAAATAAAAACACATCATGTAGGAATATCGTTGGTTTTATTTGCGAAATACTTATTCGAAAAATTTATTCAAAATTTAGATATTTTTTAAGGACGAACATTTATTATGTATATCTGAAGTTCATTATTAATCTCTCAGGAATGAAAACAAAATCCTACATGTAATTATTTGCTATTATTCAAGTGTTTTTTGATGATATGAGTATAGTCTGACAGATATTATTATTATATATCTGAAAGGAAGGAATCTTGGTGAAACCTTCTTGTATGCCACTCTCTAAAAACAAGTCGTTTTAATACGGAACCTTTTTTAAGTTCGGCAGTGGCTGCAAAACCTAAAATAGTTCTTCACTCGTAATCTTTGCTACGAAACTTCCTAAGTTCTATATGAACAATCTAGAGTATAAGATGCAACCTATAAGATTTCGTTTTAAACTTGAACTACTTCATATTTTAGATACAGAGTCCTTTTTGGTCTTACGAATCTCGAAAACGTTTCGTAGCCGCCACTTAACTTAACAAGGTTCAGTATCAAACTAATTGTTTTTTAGAGTGCAGATAGATATGAGACATTTTGCAGATTTTTATGTTCTGGAAAATTCGAAGTGTTATAAATTTCCAAGAATATTACAGTAGAATATGTAGTTCATTTTGTTGAACTTCAATTTTAAAAACAAAACAACTTTTGAGATAGATTTTTTCATGAGATTTATAAAGTTACTGATTTTTAAGTGACATAAAACAAATTAATGGAGTTCGAAAACGTAAAGCAAGAATAATTCATTAGTGTGTAGAAAAGTTGTATCCGACCCTCCTTCGTTTCTCAAAAAAAGCTTAAATAGAAATTAGAACGATATCTCAATGTCGCAATTATTTGAAATTATTCGAATATTAATCAGAAAAGATCTCTCTTTATCTATAAATACAATTAAACTATGATAGATCTACCTCGCTCTGATATTAACCTAACTTCTGGCATAGTAGAGTATTGCAATATACATTCTATTCTTGTAAATAATTTAAAATTTTTTTACAATTCACAAAAATATGATAACATTTAAATCAACATATAATCAAAAAACTTCTTTATTTGTTTGTTTTAGTTAATATACATATGATGGCAACATCAATAGATCGTTTTTCCTTGTCATCAACTTCAACATATACAGCCAATAAATTTTCTAATCTATCTGATTTACTTCAAAGATTTTATACAATAGTAGAAAATTTAAAACAAAATCATCAAAATGATATTGAACAATTAAATAACACAATAAAAAATCTTGAATCTGAAAATAGACAATTACGCACATTACAAGAACAACATCCACATTCAATATTTGATATAAATTATGTACCAAATGATACAGCAACTGTTAATCAACTTCAATCAGAACTTGAACGAGCACAAAAACAAATTGATACTTTACAATCATCATTAAATACACAATATTCAGAATATGAAGAAATGAAAACAAAATATAATTTACAACGTTTAATGAATGAAAATCATTTTGATCAACAAAATTCAAATACAGATTCAAATAAAATTAAAGAACTTGAATTAAAATTAAAACAAATTAAAGATCAAATAAATCAATTTGATCAATGTAATTATGAAAGTGAAGAACAAATACGTTTATTAAAACAATTAATATCAAATAATGAACAAGAACAAACAAAAACAATAACACAAAGTTTAACAGTTAAACAATCAGATTTATTACAACAAACAACTATTGTTGAAAATATTTTAAATAAACAACATGACAAAATTTTAGCTAAAATTTTGGAATTACTTGATCAAAATCCTCGACAAGATCAACAAATAACGACAAAAAATAAAAGAACCAAAAAGAAAAGATTATAATTTACTTCTATTTATTTAGTTTTCTTTCTTTCTTTATTTTTTTTTTTTTTTGTTTATTCTTAATATTCATCTTGTTTTTGTTTATTATCTATCTCAATAAGCTATAGAATAAATAAATGCATTAATATCAAACTAAATCATTATTCGAATATTAGAAATCTCGAAGATGAATAAATGTATCAAATTTCGAAAAACTGTTGTTTTTTTCTCTTACATATTCAATCTGATGAATTAAATTATGTTTATTTTCATTAATTTCTAACAAGAACTTTCAGTTTCACAAAAAGTTTATAATTTCAATTTCATTGTTTCAATAACGTAACCATTGAAATATTCAGTTAACTTTTAATGATAAACATAATAGAATTCACAATTAGTTATAGTCATTTCCAATGACCTTTCACTATAATAATGAGTTCAAATAAAACATGTCATATCAGTACTAGTTGTATATGAAGTATTCGACATTTGACAAGATTATCAATATGTTGAGTATTCATCATATAGATTGATTCAAGTTGACGAATTTTGGGTGTATATCAGACTCTATCTTTGACTAGTAACCTGACACCCAAGTAACGAGAACCGATGCATATCTATTTCTATGTAGACCAAAGTTATATTTAATATTTTCTGTTACATTGTTTTTGTTTTCTTATGAAATGAAAAGATGCAACTATGAAGATATTGAATAGTTGAACATCTTATCATCAATTATTGTGGTGTAATCATAACATTTATATATACGTTGAGTTCATTTTGAATTATCGAAGGATAAGGAACGTTCTCAAAGAACGAAAAGAAGATTGATTCTTTTAAAATCATTTAAATACTTGATGGTGATGTATATTGAACGATTTTCACAAGCCGATAATAACTTTTTAACAGTTCATACTGTATTTCTCTCCCACTTCAAAAGAAAATTCCACTGGATGTCTCTACAAAGGATAAATCATCTCAAAACAGGAATATGAACAGTATCAGTAACATCATAGTACTGTTTCACTGGATTAATGAATAGATAATACTCAATATTTATAGCTACTGACGTCATGCATTCTTACTTTTTAGATTGTATTATAATTGTATCATATGATACTGCTGAAAGATTAGTCGAATCAGGTGATTTTCGTAAGAACCCAGAATGATATCTGTAGATTATAAATAAGTCAGAAACTGAATCTTAATAAATGAAAATAGTCTTCTTTTAGCCATGTTTTAATCCATGACATTGTCAGACCAAATATAATCTCAAATCTCAAATTACCACAATAATTGAAAGGAAAACATTTTTCTTTTTGTTTTTTTTGATATACTTCTTTTTTTTTTTAAATATTATAGCGAAAAGATATTCGAAAATCACTCTTATACCTACGAACACTTATATTAGTTGAATAAGAAAAAAAGAATTTAACAAATGGATAGAAATTTATTTGCTAATAAAATCACATGAATGTCAGTCATTTTTAGAGCTAAATATTTAGAATATGATCTTGAAATAAATGTGAAAAATACTCATGAATATCGACAAGAGATCTTTGAGTCTTTAATCAATTTATTGTTAACGATGAGCCAATGATAATTAAAACAAATAGATTCGATTGCAAATATTCGGTTAATCGTAGATTTATCTAAGTCAATATTAAATTCGTCAACTAGGCTTATGATGAAGTATCTTCCGGTGTTTAAGCTGATTAATTCTATTTTTAGACAACAAGACGACTTCACTAAGATGTCAAAATTAGAAAACAATTCATTGTATTAAAACGTCCTCTTTTCGAATTATGATCATTCATAGAAGTTCAGAATTTTTCACAGTATTTAAGAAAACAAGTAATCGTTGACAAGATTTTTTTTACAGTTTCTTAGAATACACTAATACAAATCCTAGTTGTTTTCTCATCGTTAAATCAAGAACCTGAGGGCGAAAAAGGTGGACATGAGATTGAGAGTGAACATGAGTACAAAAGTTCATTCTACAGAATTAAGATTACCTTTAGGCCCTATTAGAAAAATGACACAGTATTACAAGATAAATCCTGTAATTTGTGCAAATCACGTAGATCTAAAAAAGTACGTTACTATAATCCATCAATTTTTCAGTTCAAACATATATTCTTTCTTTTTGAAATAATTAAATCAGAAAAAGTTTCTTGTATATTAATAGTTTGTGCTATATATGTCAATCAATCGAGTGATACACACTGTGTAGAAGGACTGCTACTAATGTGTTTTAATAAGTGAACACGTATGATATATAACAGAAAGTTTTCAAAGATTTTTCCCTACACAAGATTGATCCAAGGCAACCAAGTTTGAAGCAATGTCCTATTTTTGTATTTGATGAAAGACATTGATTTTGACTCGTCAAATGCAAGAAAAATTTCCAGTTTCGCTAGAGAAAAATCGAAATTTTTCATGATTTGGAGGAAGATGTCACAAGTTTCACATCCTCCTGCCCAAGCTAACTCAAATCATCTTATTTGATACCGTCATCTTCATTCTCATTTCAGGCATTTTTTTATAGCAATGGATTGCATAATTTTTTCAATAAATTATTTTTGGAAACGATGAATATTTCAATAAAATTATAATTTGACATTAGTCTCTATAACATTACATGAACTGTGTTGTTTCTTTTAGAGTACTTTATTTTCACTATTTTCGTGTTGAGCATAACCTATCTCTAAATATCTCGCAAATTATTTATCCATGCACAGATACCAAATATAACAGAAGCTGAGATTTATTTATCTTATGATATTTCTTTTTATAAAGATGCGCGTTGCTCTGACGATCAGCAAAGCATAATAAATCGAAAAAACTATCTTAGCGATGTGGAAGATGTGGTCGATCATATACTATCATTAGCCTTATTTCTAATGCAGATTTGTCTGATCTGTGAAGTTTTTGCATTATATAGAAAGTATTCTTATATTTTTCTCAACATCTTATGATGTGTTTCTTTATTCATTGTTATCATTGTTGCA